GGGCTGAGCTCATCTTCCTGCTTCGGTTCAGACTAGATGCACAGAGTGAGAAAGAGGCATGCGGGTGTTCAGCCCTCAGAGGATAACAGTTACCGCTTCTCAAAGCTGCTGCAGACTGTAGTTACTCTTTTTTTGCACTGTGGGAGGAAGTTCAGCAGAAACAAGATGGGACCTGAACTGTTTTTTTTTTATTTTTTTTCTTCACCTCCTGTCACTCAGAGAAAAACTCAACTTCAAAAAACAAAACCTCAAATGCACGTTCAGGATAAACACAAAACACAAACTGTGAAACAGGACACGTTTATTGTATTTACACTGCACAGCTTTTACGACATAGCTTATTTCAACAAAAATCCTGCGCTTTTGTACATAAAAATACAAACCTGAAGAGAAACATATTCCAATTGAAACAACAGTCAAAACGAAAACATGTACATCATTTGTTCATTCTAAAACACTGGACTCTTTCTTCAAGAAGAGCCTGATTCTTCTCATTCAGAATAAAGAAATCTTTTAAAGTCTGGCTTCTGTAGAAAAAAAATAGCCAATATCTTCCCTGTTGTATACAGTTCCTTGAATGACTTCAATTTGGAAAAACAGACTTTAATTCTAAATGGACAGACGAGCTAAAGTAAAGGTGCTTTATTTGTCATCAGTGTATGTTTCCACACAATGACGAAATTTGTGCTCTTTTAAACTTTAACCCATCCCAACCCAAGTGGAGCAGCGGGCAGCCATGTGAGGCACCCGGGGAGCAGTTAGGGTTAGGTGTCTTGCTCAAGGACACCACAACATGTGGGTATGGCGGGGAGTCAAACCTAAGACTTTTGGGTCCCAAGCCGGCTGCTCTACCACTACACCACAGCCGCCCCGAGCTCAAAGTGGATCACTGAAATCCGAAAACTGCTCCGATCTCGAAGCTTTCACAGCAGTTTTTGCCAATGCAAAATTATGAACCTTTCACCAAATCCAGTCGCACATATCACAGATATTCCTGCACACAGCTGCTGCTGTCTGGAAACACTGTAACTGTATGACACCAAACTGGCAGCTGTATTAAACATTTGCATGAAACATAAAATTTTTTGAGACTGGAATTGTTACAATATGGCAGCCCAACTTGGTCTTGTTCTCACTTAGACTTACCATCAGTCTGGTCAGAATGGACACACCAATGATTTGTTTGAGGCTGTTCAAGAGTTTTTGGCGAAGCATTAAAAGGGTATGGTTAGCCTGTTTGGAGTGTTAAGTGTAAAGCTTGTGTGTGGGGGTTCGGCTGCTTTGTAAAATGTGTGTAATGAAGCTGAGAGTGTGTGACGTGGCAGATAAATGAGTGTGTGGAGGCACTCTCTGTGCTCTGTGTGTGAGAGGCAGTCCTCAGCAGGGAGACACTAACACCAGTGAGACAGCAGATAAGCAGAGTAAAAAGAAAATGATTCTGTTATCTGCAGATTGAAACATCACATAAACTTGCACCAAACTCTTAAGGTTGATTTATACTTTCATTCTCATGCTTTGCTTTCAGTCGTGCATGATGAAAATTGCGTAACTTCTTTCTTTTTTCTCCCGCTGACACCTCATCGTGTACATTGCACTCAGTGAGAACTCTGTTTTGCAGTTCAAAGTTGTTTGAGTTGTGATTGGTCAGAATTTTGTGGGAATATTTGTTTATGTACCCATGCTACAGCATTTTACTGGAAATGGTGGAAAACTTTGAGGAACAGCTCATCTGGTCCTAATTAGCACGTGAACGTGCAACTGATGTCCACATTTTCTTTTCGTCTCCGTTAACAAAGGAAAAAGAGGATTTTCTCCTCCAAAGACTTCGTCCAACAACATGAGCCTTTCTTCAAATGTTTCATACATTGTTAAGTGACATAAAAACCCTCCATTTATGCTGTTTGTTATTTATGCCTAGCTCTGTGCGGTGTTTGCTACATTGGGAGTGCTGTGGGAGGGATGCTTATCCTCCACGTCTTCTACAAACACTTGATCAGATGAGGCATCTGAAATGACAGAATCACAGATCTGCTGTCTCATGTTTTGAAGTTTGAACCAGCCTTTAAACTCTTGAATTTCTTTGCCTAAATATACTTTTTAACCATTTTGACAGTGATAAAGGTAAGATTAACTCAATGCCTCAACACACACACACATACACACACATACACACACACACACACTGTTGATCAGTTTATGAGTGAGAACCTAAATACAACAATATTGAGTACAGAATATACAGGGGTTGGACAACGAAAATGAAACACCTGTCATTTTAATGTGGAAGGTTTCATGGCTAAATTGGACCAGCCTGGTGGTCAGTCTTCATTAATTGCACATTGCACCAGTAAGAGCAGAGTGTGAAGGTTCAATTAGCAGGGTAAGAGCACAGTTTTGCTCTAAATATTGCAATGCACACAACATTATGCATACAGAGTTCAAAAGAGGACAAATTGTTGGTGCACGTCTTGCTGGTGCATCTGTGACCAAGACATCAAGTCTTTGTGATGCATCAAGAGCCACAGTATCCAGGGTAATGTCAGCATACCACCAAGAAGGACCAACCACATCCAACAGGATTAACTGTGGATGCAGGAGGAAGCTGTCTGAAAGGGATGTTATGGTCTAAAACCAGGTGTTTCAGTTTCATTGTCTAACCCGTTTATTAGAATAAGTGAATGAGTGAAGAAGAAACAATGTAGGGTGCTTTGGGGAACCTGGAGAGATTAAAGAAGTGCTATAGAATATCTTAAATGAATGAACCATTTAAGACATTATTCATAAACCTTTCTAGAAAATCACACTGCAAAAAGTGAGCAAAGGCTTTAAATTTGGGTAAGTAAAACAATTCAACAGCCTCAAACTACCTGTTAGATGCACGTCAACTCCTTCAGACATTTACTGTATACTGACCTTCAGAAATCTGTAAACTTAATTTAAAAAAAATCTGTAGCATTTTTACAGGATGGCTCTTAGGTTTAAAATACATTTGAAGCTATAAGTTTTTTGAAAATTTGTGAGATTTTCTCTATACATCTGTATATGCAAAATGGGGGCAGATTGATTTAATTTAAAGACAATCAATACAACTTAACATATGGGGCACCGAGTGTAAAATGAAACATTAAGCCACACCCCTCCAGGAATGTGTTAAAACATATATTTCATTATTGAGCTACCTTTGTCAGTGTTAAAAATTGTCCACTAAAATTTCATTGCTATTTAGTTCACTGTTGGTACATTTTGCTAATTTTTACAAAATGTAAAATTTAAAAGTTGAAAAATGTTATGATGCCATCATCCTGTGACAATACCAACTGCTAGCGTTAAAGCTTCCTAACAAGACATCAAACTTGCAGTTACGACCAGTGTGCAAGCTGCACTTCAAATTGCTGGACCACAGGCACCATCAATACTGTTTTTAATGAACAAGTTTTTGAGTTTAGATATTAAACACCATCTCCAGCAGCAACTAGTGATGGCTATTGATATTTGTGCTGTTGATGCCTGCTAACTGTTCTAAAGATAGTATTTTAACATCTAAATTCAAAATCTGTTCATTGAAAACAACAGTGGTGGGCACCACTAATCTAAAAATTTTTTGTACTAACCCTAAAGCACTAACTTTATTATTTAGGTCCCCTAATTCTAAAACACTGACACACTTAAAAATTAAGCAAAATGTAATTCTAAAGCACTGAAACCCCAGTTGGCCGATGGAACATTCCTCAGAGTCAACATGAGAATATTTTCTGTGTGCAGAATATTGTTAATATTGTTATATTAATTATTGTTAATATTGTTAATATTTCATCTCGTGTAGTGGTTCCCAAAGTTGGGGTCAGGACTTCTTTGTGGGTCAATAAACATCAAGTCAGGGTCCCAGATGATTTCCAGACATTAATTTAAATGCAAAAAAAAAATGCTAATGAATATTTTCATCATGATTATTGCAATTTTTTTAAATAAACACAAATGAATAAAAAATAGTATCATAGTTACTAGGTTTGTTTATAATTATTATAAGGAATTAAACCTTTATTGTTTTTCTTTTATCTTTTGTACGTTTTTGCAAATTGAAGATTGTTTTTCATTGAATTCATTTATTTGAAAATAAGCAGCAGAAATCATAAGATTTTTTTCTTCTGCTGCCTTTCATTTGGTTTATGATTTGTATTTTTATTGAATATTGAGTTTATGTTGTTTTATTTTAAATTAATTAACTTTATAAATAAATATTCCCATGTTTAACATAGGTATTAGCAAATTTTGCATACATAAACAAGTAATATCTGGGGTCACAAGTGTCTGCAACTGTTATTTTGTGGGTCAGAAGCAAAAAATAAAGAAAACTACTGTAGTGGATAAGTGACACACACATCTGACAGCTTTCACCCTCAGCTGTTGGCAATAATTTTGATCAATAATACTTAAAGAACTCAATTAGTGCTTCTAAAATTTGCCCATAAATTTAGCAATTGCTAATACACTAATGAATTAAGAAATTAGCAAAAGCACTAATCAGGAAATAAGTTCCCTATTAGTGCTTTAGGGGAACTGTGCCCACCACTGGAAAACACTATGGATGGTATCTGTGGCCCAGGACACCAGCCATAACTGCAAGTTTGATGTCTTGGAGGGAAACTTGAGCTTAATTGGAGCGCTAGACCATAGTAAGTCTTAGGTAGGGACTTTGATAAAAATTTGAAACTTATTTTAGAGTTGTTTTTCCTTTTTGTACTCATAAGGCTCTATTCCAAAACTATTTAGTTTTTAAAAATTGGACCCCCCGTTAGGGTTTTAGAGGTCTTTAAAGGCTGAAAATTAGGACGCAAGAGCTCCATTGACTTCATTATCCCATAAAAAAGTTACATATAAGATTTAACCTTTATGTTTAGATTTATACATTAGATTTAATGTTTAAATATATTTTTAACATGTTAAAATTTTTAATTTAAAATTTCGTAAACATTAACAAAATGTAAGAACAGTCAGCTGAATAACAATAAAATATTAGTGGAAATTTTTTAACACGCAGAAAGTGAGCTAAATAACAGTGAAATTTTTAACCATTTCATTTTGGGGCCTGATATGACATGTATGCTGTTAGCTTGTCTGTTCTGACCAGATTAACAAGCTAACAGCTAGTGCTGGCAAAGCCACAACCACAGTGGGTTGCTACTATAACAATACATCAGTCCAAATCCTGATAAAACAATTAATGATTCGGTCACATCAAGGCAAAACAAAACAATCAATCCATTTTGTCATCACATGCCTGACAGCCAAACAAATCAATACAATACTGAACTGTGATAAAGATGGTGATTTACACCCCTAGTAAAGCTTTATATCAGTATCTGTTTTACCTTACTTGGTTTTTTTTCATATAAATCTAGGGGTATTTGCTTGCAAATAGCAGCAACGGCAGTTAGCTGTAGCATTTCCAGTGCAACTTTGGGTCAATTCCTTTGTGGTTTAATTGGTTTGCTTTCCTGGTTGGAGTTTAATGGAGTTTTAGTCCTTGTTTTATAAGTTTTGTTAGGGTGTTCTGATTATCTCTTTTGACAGTTTTTCCAACAACATTTAGGGTATTAATTCTTCACAGTCTTTTCACAGAACTCTTCAAAAAATTTAAAATGCCCTTTCAAAGCTTGTCAGGTGAGTTTTACAATCAGACAGATGTGACATCACACACAACCGTGTCCAGTTTCCACCTCATCAATCTGTTCACAAGCTCAACTAAAGCTGCTCCGTTTTCTCCTGAAAGGCTTTAACAGGAAGGTTTGATCTTGAATTTCCTCCGTTTACTTTCAAAATGTCACTAAGCAAAATACTGGACCCTTTTATTTAGATGTTCCTCGTGTTTAAGCCTCTTTGGAAAAAATGTCACATTTTGTCTGTTTGGGATGTGTAGCTCAGTCAACACCTGAGGTAAACTCAGTTTTCACCCTCTCTGAGCAGCCACTCTCCATCCTCAGGAGCCTGGTTTGTGCGAGACCCTCTGTTGGGGAGCTGACCGGGGAGGAGAGGATGGAGGAGGAGACAGAGGAGGTGCGGATGAGGTGCATTCTGAATTCAGCGTTGAGAAAATAATAAAGCAGGGGATTGAGGCAGCAGCTCAGGCTCGACAAGCACAGAGACACCTGGTGAAACTGTTTCACAGCCAGCCTGGTGGCGCAGTGGGTCACAAAGTTCTGCGACACCATCATGTAGAGCATGAAGTTGATGTGGTACGGGGCGAAGCAGAACAGGAAGAGAGCGGCACAGCTCAGCACCAGCTGCAGGGCTCGCTTCTTCTCACTGTTCAGATTCTTCTCTTGGCTTTTATGTAGATGATTGTTGGAGGTGACGGACTGCAGTCGGCTTCGCAAAGAAGGGCTGAGCGAGGCCGAGTTCTGCTGATCCTGGTCCTGCTTCTGTCTGAAGGACCAGGCGATGCGGATGGAGCAGTAGCTGATGATTATGAGAGGAGTCAAGAAACCAACCAGCTCGTTTAAAATGATCAACAGGATCAGCTGAAAGGGGGACACTTTACGCATTGGCAGGTCTTTAAAACAGCTTGCATTGGAGGATTGTGTGTCGACACTGAAATTATGCGGTTGCTCGGTGGAAAAGAAAGGTGACTGGATAAATGATTCATTGGTGTTTGGTGCGCCGCCGCTGCTGCTCATTCGCATCAGAATGAAAGGCGAGCAAGCCACGCCGACCACCACCCACACAAATACACTGATCATCAGGTCATAACGGCGTCTCCAGCGGCGAGCTGAAAATGGGTTGAGCAGGAAGGCGTACCTCTGGACGCTGATACACATCTGAAAAAGTTGATAACACAGGATGAGTCAAAACTAGCAGGACACCCTTTTGATTTATAAAAAAAAGGGGAAATTACCTCTGAATGCCCCTGCAAGTAATGAGTGAGGGGGCCTACATTTGGAACAAGTTGCTCTTGATTCAATATAGCAGCTTTCAAGGCCATATTTTAGACATAGCTTCAAAAGAGTCTTCCTCACTCATTACTTTCAGATGTGTCATTTTCATTCAAAATTTATTTTAAAAAAGTACAGCTGCTACACATGCATTTGATCATGAAATAGGTTAGAGTGCTGTATGTTGGTTTAATAAGCATAAATACACAAACATTTTTAAACTATCAGTTTTATCACATTTTGGTAAATGTGCAGTGCTATGTGGATGCGTCAACAAAAAAATTGTGTCTCCTTCCATCATTTAAGTTGCTCATCCCTGTTGTTGTGTCGTATGTATTGAGTCACTGAATTTAAATAAAGTGATATAAAGAGTAATACTAGTGCAAACGCTAAAAGTTCAAAGTGAATGAACACGTAAACATGTAAAGTGATGAAAGCAAATCCAGTTCTTGGTTAAAGCCCATCAATTGTTAAAATATTATTTTTAATGGGAGAACTGGGAAGTTCCCACTGAACATTTCTGTGCTTGTCTCAAGTATTCATCCAAATATTCCTGAACGACTCAACAGCTTTCTTACCAGGAACGCTATAGCGGCGTACATGTTGAAGTATTTCAGGTAGAAGCAGATCATGCATACAGTTTTTCCAAAAGGCCAGCTGTGTGTGAAGTAATAATAGAGCCTGAGGGGCAGAGAGAGGATGTGAACCAAGTCTGCCAGAGCCAAATCTATCATGAAGATCACTGTCTTGGTCTTCTTCCTGTGAAATAATACCCAGAAGAGTCAGTCAGTGCTAAGACCCACAGTATCTTTTATTTATAGTCTGACTTTGTGTACCAGATGTGTCTGCAGAGAACCCAGAGGGCTGTGGTATTGAGCAGCAACCCTGGGATGAAGAGCAGCAGGTAGAATATTTTATAAAACCATTCCATGGTGTTATTGAACTCCACAAAATCCTCGTTACACGTGGTGGAGTTCAACATGGCTTCCTTTACAGGTTTCTTCTAGACTCTATTGGCAATTCCTTTATTCACTTGTATTCAGACTTCTTTTCCACCTGAAAGAAAAATAAGCATGCAGAAACAGTGCTAATTTTAGTTTTTTATATCTATTGTAGTAAATTCATAAAAGGTCAGTGCATCGTCACTGAGCCAGTTTGGTCATCCGTTCTTCCGTTTCTGTTATAGTTTTTGATTTGTTGCTTCACCCACTTTAAAAAAACACCATGAACTATACACTCACCGGCCACTTTATTAGGTACACCACGCTAGTAACGGGTTGGACCCCATTTTGCCTTCAGAAC